GGGGACGAGAAGTGCATCAGATGCATCCCAAGCAGCCCGATCTGGAGATCTTCAGCAAGTGGCTGGAGACAGAGACTGCCATCTTGAGAAACTCAGCCAACCACAACCGCGATCCAGAAAGGAAAAGGCCATCCGCGAGTGCACGGGAGACCTCGGCGCGACGAACAACTCTGACTACGTCGGCTACGTCTTCCCAGACGGAAAACAACCGACGTCGCTGGTTCTGTGTCCTGTGCAAGGAACAGCACAAGCTTCAGGATTGCACGGAGTTCAAGTCGAAGACGGTGGAGGAGAGGCTGGTCGTAGTGAGCAAGGAACGACTGTGTTGGGGCTGCCTGAACAAGGGTCACTTCATGAGGGATTGCCGCTCTGCAAGACGATGCAACTTGAATGGATGTAATGCATCTCATCACCGACTCATACATGTGGACAGAAGCGCTGCTTGTAATGAAGAAAGCCAAACACAACCAAAAACAGTGGCACGAGAAGGAAGTCGCATCGTCGGCACGGCTCTCACAGAGACGACAGACACACTGCTGCAGTTGGTGCCGGTGCGGATTCACGGCCCAAACGGGGAGAGAGACGTAGTAGCACTGCTGGACCCGGGAGCGCAGACATCGCTCTGTTGTGAAGATGTCTTGGAAGAGGTTGGGGTCCCTGGAGTCCGAGAGAATCTGCAGCTACAGAACATCGAAGGAAGCGGTACCAGACAGTCGTCTCTTCGAGTTCAGCTGACGGTTAGTCCTCTGAGCACAGCGACCAGCAGAAATCGAATAGTCGTGCCCGAGGTGTGGTCTGTGCCAAGGTTGAACGTGGCCCCACCCAGCATGAGTAGCAAGCAGCTTCGCAGCTGGAAGCACTTGCAGGACCTGGACCTACAGCAGTACAACGGCGCACACGTCGAGCTCCTACTTGGTGCCAACATTCTGGAAGCTGTGCTGCAGCGAGAGGTCAGGGTGGGAGGCCCCGGAATGCCCGTCGCTATCCGGACAGACTTTGGCTGGACCCTGACGGGATCGATATCCACCCTGATTCCAAGCACAATGCGGCAAGTCATGTTCGTGCGTCAACGTGCTCCCGAAGACGCTGTGGAGGATCTGCAAGAGTTGGTCCAAGACTGGTGGACGACCGAGGCCTTCGGCACCATGATCAACAGCTCTGATGCACGATCTCAAGAAGATCTCAGAGCTATGCGAATCTTGGATCAGCAGACCAGGAAGGTGGGGGACAGATATGAAGCTGGACTTCTGTGGGGTGAAGACGAACCGATGTTACCGGACAACTGGAACCAAGCGTACCGACGTCTTCAGTCCATCGAGAGGAAACTCGATAAGCAGCCAGAACTGGCTACAAGGTACCAAGCCATCATCGACGGATATGTGAAGGATGGTCACGCAAGGAAGCTCTCAGCAGAAGAAGCGGACGAACCGAAGGAGAAGCGTTGGTATCTGCCACACCACGCAGTAGTGAATCCGAACAAGCCAGGGAAGCTGAGAATCGTTTTTGACGCTGCGGCAACATACCAAGGTGTATCACTGAACTCGAAGCTCATCACAGGTCCAGATCTACTACAAAGCCTTCCTGGGGTGATCATGCGCTTCAGGGAAGGTCTGATCGCTGTGACCGCGGACATCAAGCAGATGTATCATCAGGTGAGGATCCGGACAGAAGACCAGCCTGCATCGAGCTTTCTATGGCGAGATATGGAGCGACACCGCAAGCCTGACGTCTATCAGATGGAGGTGGTCATCTTTGGGGCGAAGTCATCACCGGCAACGGCCAACTACGTGCTGAGAAAAGCACTTCTGGACCATGGAGCGGAGACAGACAAGATTCTCAGCAGAAGTCCCGAGCAACTGGCAAAGTCGTTCTACATGGACGATTGCCTGTTCTCTTGCATGACGGAAGACGCCGCCAAACAGCTGTACGCTGACGTGAAGGAGGCACTGGAGAGAGGAGGTTTTCACCTCACGAAGTGGAGAAGCAGTTTCCCCGCTGTGCTGGAAGGCGTTCCAGAGAGTGAGAAAGCCAGCGCCTCTGCGAGCCTATGTCTCAGGAGCACGCACACCGCTGAAAAGACGCTGGGCATCGCATGGGAAGAAGACGAGGACACATTGGGGTTTCGTCTCCAAGCCAAAGAAGTGAGTGCAACCAAGCGTGGTGTGCTCAGCAAAGTGTCAACAATTTTTGACCCTCTGGGGATTGCTGCTCCTGTTACCGTGAGAGCAAAGATGATGATGCAGCGACTCTGGTGGAAACATCTGGAGTGGGACGAGCCACTACCCGAACCTGAGCTGAGCCAATGGTTGGAGTGGCTGAGTGAAGCAGAGAAGCTGAACGAAGTCGTGATGCAACGCTGCGTGAACCCCAGCGGCCCAGGGACACTGCGACGCCAACTTCATGTGTTCTGCGATGCGTCAGAGAGTGCGTTCGGCGCTGTGGTATACTGGAGGACAACTTCGAGCGATGGGTTACACCACTGTCGCTTCCTGATCGGCAAGTGCCGAGTCGCTCCACTGAAGCGACTATCAATTGTCCGTCTGGAGCTGCAAGCAGCCGTTCTTGGAGCGCGTCTGGTGGCTACCGTCCTCGGTGAGATCACTCAGCCACCGGATGACATCTTCTGCTGGACGGACAGCAAGGTCGTTCAGCAGTACCTTGGTAATGAAACCCGACGGTTCAAGACCTTCGTGGCCAACCGACTGGCTGAGATTCACGAGCTGACCCACAACGCGTGCTGGCTCCACGTTCCTGGGAAGCTCAACCCCGCTGACGACTGTTCCAGAGGGGTTTCAGTGCTCATGCTCAGTCAGGACGGCAGGTGGCTGACGGGTCCCACCTTCTTGAGGGAGGACGTCAGCCAGTGGCCACCCCAAGAAGAGCTAGCCCAGCTGGCACAGGATGAAGAGATGCGGGACGCGCTGGTATTCACGACTACCAAGTGCACACCAGAGGAACCGATTCCAGCGAGGTTTTCATCCTGGGGGAAGTTCAAGCGAGTCGTTGGATGGATGATGCGCTTTACGCGCAACATGAAGGCCAGCCGGACAGCCGCCGAAGGCCACCGGACCACTCTCACGTTCGGAACTGCAAGCAGCGGAGGTGTGGGTCGTTGCCAAGGAACAGGCGCAGTCCTACGCTGAAGAAGTGCGCTGTCTGACGCAGCAACGGCCACTGCCTACGTCCAGTTCTCTGCTTCCTCTGGCCCCGTTTCAGGACGAGGACGGCCTGATCAGAGTCGGGGGACGCATCGGCAAGGCATGCATCTCGGAGGAAGCCAAACACCCTATCATCCTCCCACGGCAAAGTGAGCTGGCTCGGCTTGTCATCAAGAACAAACACTATCGTCATGGTCATGCAGGAGCTGAGCACACGCTGAACTTGGTGCGCCAGAAGTACTGGATTCCGCAAGGACGCTCAGCCATCAAGGCGCAGCTTCGTGACTGCTCCTTCTGTCGCCGTCGCAGGGCCGCCCCTGTGCCACCGCGGATGGCTGATCTCCCTCGGGAGAGACTCGAAGCTGGACGGCCATTTCGAAACGCTGGTGTCGACTTCTTCGGGCCGCTGCATGTGAAAAGATTCAGGAAAACGGAGACCCGATACGGACTGTTGGTGACTTGTCTGGCGACGCGAGCTGTACATCTAGAAGTGGCCCACTCATTAGATACAGACAGTTGTATCATGGCCCTCAGAAGATTCTTTGCTCGCAGATCGCAGCCGGAAGTCATCTTCTCAGACCGTGGGACAAACTTCGTCGGCAGCAACCGTGAGCTTCGTCAAGAGCTCCGAGGGGTTCTGGCGCAGATGCCAGAGAAACTGAGTTCCTACGAAATTGACTGGCGCTTCAATCCACCAGCCGCGAGCCACATGGGTGGGGTGTGGGAACGCATGGTCAGATCTGTGAAGACGTGCCTGCAAGTCGTAGTTGGCTCACAGGTATTGACGGACGAAGTCCTGCTGACCGTGTTCGCAGAGGTTGAACACATGGTGAACAGTCGGCCGCTTACCTACGTAAGCTCCGACCCAACTGACGCCGAGGCGCTAACACCCAATCACTTTCTGTTGGGTCACGCTTCTCATCATCTAGCGCCAGCTCTGACGAGAAACGGAGACTTGAGCAGTCGTCGGCGTTGGAGACAAGCTGAAGCAGTCGCTGAGCACGTGTGGCGGAGATGGACGCGAGAATACGTGCCTACTTTGTCGCGCAGAAGCAAGTGGCACCGAGAAACCAGAAACCTACGCGAGGGTGATCTGGTTCTCATGACAGACACAAATATGCCCAGGGGGTCGTGGCCATTGGCTCGTATCACAAGAGTATTTCCTGGAGAAGACGGCATAGTGAGGTCCGCTGAGCTGAGAACCTCTGGCGGGAGAATCTACACCAGACCTGCGATCAAGCTATGCTTCCTAGAAGAGGACTGTCAGTGACCTTGGCGTCGGAATCAAATGACGCCCAGGTCAACTCGCCATCGAGAGGCTGGAATCGGGCAGCGGCTGGCGTCTTCCTCACCATCCTTATCTACCCATCGCTCTCCTACAGTCCTTGTTTATAATCCGGCTAAATAAGTGTCGTTGGCGTGTGAAATACCAGAGGACACGTGGCGACAAGGAGCTTAAATTCAGTTGTCAGCCTGTTGGTAAATGGTGTGTTGTTTTCGTTTGGAAATCTTATCGCTTTTCTTGTCGTTTTTCTTTGCTAAACGGTACACTCATGTCGTATGCTTGGGGCTTGAATTGTGTTGTTACTTTGTTCTCAGTGCAGGTATCCTGTGTCATTTACTCCGGTGTTATATTCTTCTCGTTTGATGTTGCTCGGTTCATTCGCGTGATATCAGAGCTTTGTACAAATGCTCGTATAACTCTGGAGTCGGGAAGCGTGGGGGTCGGAGCAAGTTATGGCACGGGCGTTCACCGCCCGTGCCGTCTCCGCCGCTGTATATAGTCCCGTCCCGTGCTGACCCGTTCGTCCGTCCGTCTGTGTGTCTGTCTGTTCGTTACAGCCAGCCATGGGAGTCAGCATGATCGGGAAGCAGCGGCGCACTCCCACCTCCACCTCCTCCTCGCCCCACTTCGTCTTCCCGTCCGCCCCGCTGTCCCCCTCCGGCAGCCCCAGCCCCGGGCCGGGCGCCGAGACCACTGGCATCAGTCGCGGCATCGCTGCGCACGGCACACTATCCCCTCCGCCGGCGCTGGCTAAGTCACAAACCAGCCCGGCGCTGGGCTGGGGTCTGCGCGTGCTGCCGCGCTACGGTCTCCAGTATCCACCCGTGTTTACCCCGGATACATACTCCCTGGAGCAGATGTCAGGCAGCGCTGCCGAGACTGCGTCCCTGGGACCGGCGTGGGCGGACCGCTGCTACGCGGACTCGGCCACACAGACTGAGGCGGGCCGGGCGGAGGGCGCCGCCTCGCTCGCACCACCGACGTCCACTACAGGTGAGATCTATGGTGATGGGTGACCGGGGAATGGTGGCGGTGGCACTGCGAGCATGGGGGCGTGGCAAGGCGGCTGACTGACCGACCGCCTGGAATGATCGACCGACCGAACTGATGCATGCTGCGCGCTTACTGACTTGATTGATACCAGTTTGCTTGCTTGCCAGTTTTATTTGCCTTCTTATTTAAACATTTTGACTATTTTCTATTTTAGCTGTGCTACCTTTCGGCTGTCTTTAGTCAGGAAATACATTCTTGTACACCATTCACTTAGTTCTCGCTACTGCATATGCGCTTGCCGCGAGTGTGCTCCGATACACCACCTGCCTGGCTGGCTGGCTGTCTCCTCTCTCTCGCCCGGCGCCCTAGTCAGTCGGCCCGCCACCCGCACAGGTGACGGGGCGCGGACTCTGCGCAGGAAGAACACGCTCAAGGGTCGCCGGCGCCGCGGCTCGCTACGTACAGAGGGCATGCTACGACTGCTGGCTCTCCAGCGCGCCGTCAAGGTAGAGCTAAAGCGTCCGAACATCGCCGCTGTTGGGAAGCGCAGTGATAACGTTACGCATGGTCATAGCACCTGGAGGAGCATGCTTTCAGTTTGCATTTGCTTGCGATTTTCCCTTTGCTGTATTCTTATGTTGGGCCTTTGATGCTGTAAGTGCGGGTAGTGGTTGTGAATGGTATGCATTGGTATCTCGACGTACTCTTATGTGATGTCTATGCGTTCACTTTCCTTATCGGCAAAAACATTTTGCACTTTCAATGATCACTCATGGTTTGAAGTATTCAGTCTTCACTGTTTTTCTGACAGCATTATGTTTCCCAGACCCCAGTTAACTATGTTCACCCCGTTTTTCCTGTTTGTCGTGCAAACAATGCTAATTATTGTATGCCCACCTTACTCACCTCGCTCACCGCGTTCCCGCAGGCCAAGCAGGCAGAGGTGGACTCCATCAGTGACCTGTTACGGACGCCCGTCACCCACGCGCGACTGGAGCGCTGGCTCAGCGAGAACCAGGGCCTGCTGGACCGGGCCGGGTCGGCACCCGACCATGACGGAGAGACGGGCAGCCAGATATAGGAGAGACAAGGGCGTGGGGTCTTGCTGAATTGAATAGAAGTGACCGTGTATTCTTGCTGAAGAGACTAATGTATATTGCTGGCCAAGCGAGTCAGGAGCATGAAACTGTGCTGTGGGGACTTGATTGACACGATTGCGCTACTTTGATTGATAAATGTTGCCGTGAACCCCGCTATAGGAGAGCTGTGGATGTAAAACCCGGGTTTATAATGGCCCAGAAAGGAAGAATTGGGGTGTACGGCGTACGCGACCGATGTGGTGTACCTTTGGAACCAAGACAGCGTTTATCGTTGGCTGTCGTGGATTATGGTTTTTGTGGATTTTTGGAATGGTGTATGCGCTGTAATATCAGAATCAAGTTAACTACTTTTGATACTGTGAGAGTGTTGATACGATTGTAATTCCGCTTCTTGCTGCATTGATGAATCAGGACGTTGATGACCGCCGTGCGTTAGTTGTTAGTTTTGTGAGCGGTGCTGTGTGCTCGCAGCTTAAGTGTCCATTGGTGCTTTTTGATTTTATTGTGGTGTCCGCTGTAGCCCTGCGTTCATAAACGATGTGAATTGAAGCCCTGCGTTCAGAGTAAGATGTCCGCTGGACCCTTGTGTTCGCCGTTAGATGTCCCTGTGTTAACGGTTTAATGTTCTCGATGGAGTCATGCCCGCTGACTGCTTATATACCGCTCGCGTGCAGAGATTCGGTGACAAGTCTGGGAGCGCCGCGCTGCCGATTTGGAGCGGACTGAGGGCTGTGAGGCGGCGGGTCCATGTTTAATCCTACTGTGACGGTCACCGCGCCGCAAAGTGCGCTATAACCCGTGTCCTTACTACGAGTCGGGTATTGCTGTAATACCAGGCGTGCCTCTCACGCCTCTCGAGTCGTCCGCTCGCCTCCCACTGCCTGGCCCGGCCGGTCGCTGGCTGTGTGTCTACCTATGTGTCTATAGTGAGCCGTCCTCGGGCGGCATAATCACCCTTACGTATATCAAACGGACAGCCCGCCTGTCCTCTGCGCCGCGAGGGGTCCCAGTTCGGACCATTCTCGGTCCAATTCTGCCGCGGTCAACCGACCATTGGTCCATGTGAACTGCTTATTAATATCTGCGTGTGTATTGTATAGCAATATGTACGATTTTTGACGTGTTATGAGATAGATACGTGGACATTTTTCCTGGATATGAATATTTTGATGTTAAGTCGTATGCCTCTTCCGCTATAATTCCCAATCCAATCATATTTGTGATTGTTATACCACACTCGATTAAGAAAATACAAACATATCTCAACAATGTCCATTTGTACCTGGCTCTCTGGAACGAAATGCCTCCGAACGGCCCAGGGTAAGGATCCCAGCCTTTCAACGAGCAGGAAATCCAACCATCAGCCAATCGGAGGCCGAGACTCTCACCAATGACCAATCACGAGACGCGTACCCAAACCGTCAACCAATGGGAGGCCGTGGCTCATATCAACGACCAATCACGGGGCGCGGCGGTAGGACGGCGACGCGATACACAGTCTCTATCTCTATACCCGGGCGTGTCTTCCAAGCGGTAGTCCGCCGCACTTGTCACGGGCCTCGTCTTAGCTGGGCGAATTACCGTCTCACTGGCTCGCATCGGACCATCACGATGGCACACAGTTCCCCGAGTCACGGTGCACCCGTCGCGGTCAACTAGCTAACAACCAACCAGGAACGAACGTGTCACTTAAAACGAGGGGCAGGTCGGCCGTGGAATGGAGCTAAGACGTCGCCGACCGTCCCCGAAGGCAGCCTTTGGTGAACAGGGAGAGTCCAGTGGCGCTCCTTACTGCAACACAGAGAAAAAGGAGGGGTTGACATGATTGCCGTCCGAGCTGTGAAAAATCATGGTATGGTACACAAACTTCAACATCCTCGTAACGTCAAGCGGCATCAGGAAAGTGACAAACCAGGTTTTTGGCTATCTCGTACCCAACGTCCCAGAGTCGAATCTAATCCGACTTCACTAACATGAGATGCGCGTCAAAAAACACCATTCGCAGACGTCTCTCTAGTGGCTGCCTTTTTTGAGAGAGTCAACGGACACTTTAGAGCGGCGCTTTCCGTACGTTCGGACGGGCCGTTTTTCGCGCGGAATTTCCACGCCGAGGAATTCCTAACGAAAACGGCCGTTCGGACAAACCCGTTTCGCGGGATCCCGCGGGATTCCTCATTTCGCGATGCCCGGACGGAATTCCTCAGCGTGGAAATTCCACGCGAAAACCGGCCCGTCCGAACGCAGGCTTTAGTATTACCAATACCTTTTTCTCCTTGGCGTCTGCGGCGGTGGAGTCGGCGGCGGCTGTGTCGCCCTCCTCGGCCCCGTCAGCGGTGTCAGCGTCCACCGTCAGCCCGGCCAGCCGCTCCCGGAGCTCCTTATTCTCCTCCTCCATCACAGTCATCTGACAGGACACAGTCACATGACAGTCAGCCCGGCCAGCCGCTCCCGGAGCTCCTTATTCTCCTCCTCCATCACCGTCATCTGACAGGACACAGTCATATGACAGTCAGCCCGGCCAGCCGCTCCCGGAGCTCCTTATTCTCCTCCTCCATCACCGTCATCTGACAGGACACAGTCATATGACAGTCAGCCCGGCCAGCCGCTCCCGGAGCTCCTTATTCTCCTCCTCCATCACCGTCATCTGACAGGACACAGTCATATGACAGTCAGCCCGGCCAGCCGCTCCCGGAGCTCCTTATTCTCCTCCTCCATCACCGTCATCTGACAGGACACAGTCACATGACAGTCAGCCCGGCCAGCCGCTCCCGGAGCTCCTTATTCTCCTCCTCCATCACCGTCATCTGACAGGACACAGTCATATGACAGTCAGCCCGGCCAGCCGCCCCCGGAGCTCCTTATTCTCCTCCTCCATCACAGTCATCTGACAGGACACAGTCATATGACAGTCAGCCCGGCCAGCCGCTCCCGGAGCTCCTTATTCTCCTCCTCCATCACCGTCATCTGACAGATAGTGACAGACACAGTCATATGACAGTCAGCCCGGCCAGCCGCTCCCGGAGCTCCTTATTCTCCTCCTCCATCACAGTCATCTGACAGGACACAGTCATATGACAGTCAGCCCGGCCAGCCGCTCCCGGAGCTCCTTATTCTCCTCCTCCATCACCGTCATCTGACAGGACACAGTCATATGACAGTCAGCCCGGCCAGCCGCTCCCGGAGCTCCTTATTCTCCTCCTCCATAACTGTCATCTGACAGGACACAGTCATATGTCAGTCAGCCCGGCCAGCCGCTCCCGGAGCTCCTTATTCTCCTCCTCCATCACAGTCATCTGACAGGACACAGTCATATGACAGTCAGCCCGGCCAGCCGCTCCCGGAGCTCCTTATTCTCCTCCTCCATCACAGTCATCTGACAGGACACAGTCATATGACAGTCAGCCCGGCCAGCCGCTCCCGGAGCTCCTTATTCTCCTCCTCCATTACCGTCATCTGACAGGACAGGACACAGTCATATGACAGTCAGCCCGGCCAGCCGCTCCCGGAGCTCCTTATTCTCCTCCTCCATCACCGTCATCTGACAGGACACAGTCATATGACAGTCAGCCCGGCCAGCCGCTCCCGGAGCTCCTTATTCTCCTCCTCCATCACCGTCATCTGACAGGACACAGTCATATGACAGTCAGCCCGGCCAGCCGCTCCCGGAGCTCCTTATTCTCCTCCTCCATCACCGTCATCTGACAGGACACAGTCATATGACAGTCAGCCCGGCCAGCCGCTCCCGGAGTTCCTTGTTCTCCTCCTCCATCACCGTCATCTGACACAGTCACATAGTTGTCACAGTCATCTGACAGTCATATGTCTGTCAGATCTGTCAGTCATCTGACAGATACAGACACATGGCAGTCATTCATCTGACAGAGTCAAGAATACAGTCAGTGCCTCACTGCCTAGTGTCGCACACACCCGTCATACAAGTCATGCAATCCATGCCACACTGCTACCTGTGCACACAGCCACCGTCCGATAAGGACGGTCATCACGGTCATCACTCGTCACTCCATACTCCGTACTCAACCACACAGATAATGTTACTCAAACTACCGGTGGTCAGGAATCCTGCAGAAATTCGAATGGGCCAGACTGTCATTCTAGCCGTCGCCACAAGTAAGATCGTAAATGCATTCATCCAAAGGTCAAAATGGCTCACTGGGAAGGTCCAAAGGCCAAACCATCTCGAAAACAGTCCCAAAATATCGAATCTCCATCCAGCCTTATCCCCCGAGGATCAGGCCGCACATCCACTCTCTGACCTTTTCCTTCATTTCGGCAACCACCAATCGGAGGCTCTCCAGCTCCACCTTGTCTGGGCTGGCGGCGCCCAGCGTGTTCCGCACGTACTGCAGAGCATCAGCTGGCTTCTCGGGCTCCTCGTACAAGCTGACCAGACACCGGGTCAGCACGTCCATCACCCCATTCTTCTCGAGGTACTTGCGGAACTCCTCCCTCTTCGAGTCCTGCACCTGAGATCAGAGCAACAGAGAGGATGTTAGAATGTGGTGTCTCATTGAGTCTCCTGCATGCATTTAATATATTCAAATTTACATGAATATGCATTATGCATGTAGAGCAACAGACTGCAGTCTGCAAAGTGCAAACTGCAAAGTGTGACTCTTCCATAAAATATCATAATTGTTGGTCAATTAGTTAAAGAAAACTTGCAGTGATGAGCGCAATGGTGCAGATACAGAGGTAAGAGGAGGAAATGACCCAATATCAGGCGTTGACACAATCTCATCAGTGTTTGGGCACTAACGGGAGCCCTGGTCGGATCTGACATGAACCAGTCAGTCAAGGCTGCAGCACCAAGCTGCTGTACTGGCATAGCGCTGTCCATGATAATAATGTGAGTACCAGAGTCATCCATGAAAATGTATAATTTAATTAGTGTTTTTTTTATAAACAGCTCTCTAAATTCTGCAATAAAACAGCAATTATTGTGGGGACTGGGACAGTCATGGCGCAGGCTTACCACTTTGTAGGTATTCATGACGGTTTCTCTGTTAAGAGATGAGGGTAAATTAAGGGCTAGATGAAATTGCTCGTGTCTACCTTACAATACAAACGATAATAGAACGTTAAATGAGATTGAAAACAAGAAAATGAACGTTGCCCAAATGCAAACAAACAACAGCGGGGCGACTCGCGCTTTCGTTTGTTTATAGTGAAACAAAATATTATTTCCGGATATAAAACACTCCATCCATTTGGATATTTTCATGATATTTTGCACAAAAATTGACTTGACGGCATTTACTTAGGTTTGAAATTAAAATTCAGTACAAAAAGTACAAAATAATAATTCAATTTCCTTTAATTCACCTCTAATTGAACACTGATTCGTTCGTGGCGCGCTACCGACCGATTTCGCCGCTAATGCTCGTGTGTGTTGATGTGTGAAAGTTGGATGAGAGGGGCGCTGTCGCTGTTTATGGGCGTGGAATATTTTTTTTTAGTCGAGGAGGGTAGATGATTTATGCACAATAAATAAGGTAATTTGACTTTGATTATACGTTTTTGATTTATGGTGACTTGTCTCTTCTGTTTATGCCCTGTAGTGCAAAAGCAATTTGCCACCTGTAAATCAAAATCAGACGACTTTTTGACATTTTGCAGATTCGACATTTACATATGAAGCTGCTGAGCTATTTATTCTTTATCTGTATTCTGTGGCTATGGTAGTTCACCCTTAAAAGATCATTTCAAGATCATAGGAGACAACCTGAGACAGAACGAGCCTCTGACGCGTTAGTTTGCAGCAGATCTTGCGCCCAGCTTGTTGGGATGGAAATATGTTGGCTGCACAGTTCAATCCATTCATTTATATTATTGGTGCATGTTAATTTGGTGTAGCCTTGTTGGCTGAACTGATAAATATTCCTAAGAACTAACTAACTTATGCTGATGAAGCAGGCATTAAAATATGATGTCTTTTAATCAACATTGAAATTTGCTTTACCTACAGCAATATATTGCATGTGTGGGTAATTGCTTATCAAAGGTCATTGGTAAAGGTCATTTTTGATTAGTTCTTGTGCATCATTTGGAGGTCAAAATGGGTGCAAAATGACAGTAGTCACACGTCGGCCAAAGCCCACCAAAAAGGCACGCAAACATTCTAAGTTTGAAGAAAAGCCTGCTTATCACACAGTCTGATGTGAAAGCAAAGGATGTAGAAACGTTGGTGACAGGCCGTACCACCCTGCTTTTTAAACCTGTAATTGTTAAATATTATGGTTCTTAGTTCATTGAATGACAGTTAGATTTCTTATAATTTTGTGTTTTTGGATGATTTCAAGTGGGGGAGATTATTTATGCATGTCAGCACACTTTTATCAATACCAACAAGATAACTGATGTAGTATGTAGTTGCTTTTTAGAAATTCATGTTTCTTACTTCTTTAATGCCTTCTATCTATTGCTTTATTCCATTCTAGATGAGAAAAGAAGTGAGTTAATGTTTGCACCATCACAGTTAATGCCACCACTCATCACATACAGCCCTGCATTCAGTATGTGTCTAACATTTGCCATGTAAAATGGAAATGCTTGAGCTCAGCTGCAGCCTGCCCAGAAGGCATGCTTGTCTTTGCAATGATGGACTAGGTTTCAGGATGATGATATAAAGCTACAAGCACTCATTAGATCTGCCAGAAATTTAGTGCATTGTGTTTGGAGTTTCAGCACCAGAGTATTAAATTTATTCTCTATTGCAGGATCCAGGATTCAGGAACTGGATATTTGTCTCATAAACACTCCTATCTGCACTGAAGATAATAATAGGATGGCTTCAAGCATTTGGATGGATACTGGATAGGTAGCAAGGATAGGTTTGCACAATGCACATTTCTCACACTACCTTGGCTGGTTTTCTGCGCCCACAGACAATGTACCGAGACAGTGTAACATCGATGGTTTTCTGCGCCCCCAGAGAATGTTCTAATACAGTGTAACTGACTGTTTTTCTGCATCCACAGACGATGTACCGCGGAGGGTACCAGGATGATGTTCCGGTCATCACCAGTTACGACGACTATGACGGCGAAAAGGTCAGTCCGCGGTCGTCGTGCAGTAGCGGCGTACCTACATTAGTCACTCCGAGCAGCGCTATTCTCGAGAGATCACTGGCCACTTGTCAGCTTCTCGATAGATCATGATATTAACGTGGCGTGGGCCATTTGGCTGGTATTGAGTCCATGGTGCTAAGTTTAATGTGCAGCGGGATCCGTAGCTGCTAAAAAGTCATGGAAAATCAACGAACGTGCAGCTGTGGCAAAGTCACACCATCTGCGCTCAGACTTCCAGCGTTGTTTCACAAGACCTCCGTAACTACTCTTCTCGTTCGATGGAATATGTTGTCGTCCTTTGTTTATTGTTTATTGTTTATTAGGCATTGTCAGCCACAGGCAAAACCCAATGACGGCTGAGGTCAAAGTAAAATATAAGCACGCACACGCACACACGCACACACACAAGACACACACTATTTCATCACACCTGCCTACGCACATGCATATGCCTATACCCACCACAGACAAAAAGCCGCGGGACACTTTAAGACAGCAATAGCTCGTATAAAAGTGGCAAAAGGCCAAAACACTGAGATACAATAAAAAAGGAACAATAAAATGACACATGATCTGTAAAAAATGCAAAAGATAAAAGTAATGCAAACAATAGCAGCCTACGTGACTACGTCATACAAGTACCAAGGCCTCGTGCGTAGGCACGGATGCGCGCGGTGCAGTGGGGACTAGGCTGAAAGAAATCCTCGTCTGGATATTTGTTCAGGAACTCATTCACTAGTTTCGGGACTCGTACGCCGAGGCCGTTCTTCACCGTATCAACCCGTCCAAAAGGTACGTTGAACAAGCCCGTCTGCCTAGAGCGCCGGCCAGGAACACGCAGCGAAAACATAGTCACAAGTAGCCCACAGTCCAGTCGGCCGGCAAACACAGAGCGTATGAACTTCAGGTCGGTCTGAACAAGTCTACCTTTGATGGACATACAGTGAAAATGTTGGAGGAGAGACTCATAGTCCATCGAGCACCGGCTATGTGTCTTGGCGCCTAACCACATCAGGTAACGGTGTTGCAGTCTCTCCAATCTCGCAAGGTGAGTAGGTGCTGCGCCACTCCAGACGACACTCGCGTATTCCACAACCGATCTGACATGGGCATTGTACGCCGCCATGACTGCCCGGTGATCGAAGTACGGCAGCCGGGTACGGTGTGAGACCTGCATGCTGCGCATAAGTAGACCTAGCATGCGGTTGGCCTTGCTCACACAGGCGTCAACATGCGCGCCAAATGTTAGCCTGGAGTCCAGGATCACACCCAGATCTCTGATCTCCGTACACCGCTCGAGTTCGTAACCATCTAAAAAGTATGATGATGCGATGGGAGATGTACGTAAAGTAAAGGTGATGGTCTTGCATCACCTTTACTTTACGTACATCTCCCATCGCATCATCATACTTTGCCAGTGGTGTATGTTCAGTAGGGCAGTCATTCCAGCGGGCCAAGCATCCTCTGCACATGGTCGTTTAGACGTTGGTGTTTTTTTTTTTTGTGGGCATTTGCTGAGCGGAGGGAATGAGATAATTCTTCCGTTCTCGAGAACTTTTTAGGGTTTGGAACTTTTTAGCTCATTTCAATGTCTCTGCATTGAATGGTCATGAAGTCCTGTCGGATATATCGAAATGTACCAACCAATTGGTAAAGTGCAATGAGCGTATCAACTTATTGGTACAGTGCAATGAGCGCAAAACTCAGCTCATCTAGTTACTGTACGGGAGCGTTTCGGCCCCGGCAGGCAAATGTACACTTGTTCTCACTTATCCTCGAGTCGTGATGTTCTGTAGTTTTCCTCTGGAGATGTCCTGATCAGGGAAATTGCTGGGTGTTACGGTGAACACAGCGCTTAGTTCGCTGCTGTCTGTGTGTTTGATACATCTTGTCGCCACTCGGAAGAATTATGAGTCCTTATTATTGGTAATGTACTTGATGTATGCTACTAGCGCCACAGATGCCTAATTTTGGTTGGGTCTGTGATGAACGAGGGCCGTTATCCTTTGTAGATTTACGGAAATACCGACCGAAACTCACTTGTTTCGAAAGTGAAATGGTTGGTATCCTACCTCGAGAGCTAATAAGAAATTCGCTATTTACGGGTGTAATACTGATGTACCTTTTTGTCCTCCGCGATAGCAAAACAATGAATATTGAAGAGATATTTCTATATCCTTCGGAAGGTAGTGCCAAAGCGGTACGCTCTCCCCTGTCCAGTATGGCGTGCACTCGGTGTGGCTCCCTGGGCGTTACTATGCACTCCCCCTTGGCCCACCCTCCCCTGGGATGAGTCATAGTATCATGGGCCGGGCGCCACCCGTCCACTCATTCTGTGCAGACGCCGCTCGATGGACGGTGGGGGGGGGGGGGGTAGTGTTGTCACCAGATTCTCTTCCATTTTCCAACCGCGGTCACTGGCGTTTGTGTACGACGTGACGTTCAATTCGTTACCCTTGCTAGCTTACATATTCTTTGCGCGGTGAGGGTATGTAATGGCGTCTGCTTGGCTTGTGTATTATGGCAAAACGATATCTAGAAAATTCATCGTCTCAAGATTCGAAGCCTTGTCGTAGGAACGTTTAAAACCCGTGGTTTTGCTGGGCGGCTGGGCGATGGCCATCCTGGAGGGAGGGGGCGGAGTGGGGGTCGACATCGATCGACTCGTAATGGGGGGGGGGAGTGGGGGTAGGGGGAAGCGGACCGCCTGGCGCCACTCCCGCGCTGGTCTCAAGCGTTGAGACAAAGGCGCCGCAGAGGAAGATATTTAGAAACATTTAATTGATGATTTAATAAAGCTTCCGTTTTTTCGAGCGCATTATATGAAGACTGACTGGCAGCCACCCTCTCAAGCCGTCAGTCAGTAGATCTCGGGGCCCTTGCCTATGCTCGTCTATGCAACAGTCAACCTCGCGGAGTAACCGCCGGTGACGGGCACGGCTGCATCTGCCCACCTGCTGCGGCATTGCGCAATGCTGCATTTGCATGCTGATTATCTTGAGGCATCTGATGCATTAGCGGTGATGGCCGATTTAGTGGCTGATGTGTCATCGGTATGGGTGGAACGTTTAGCAGAGTGAGTTGTGTCATCCTGCAGACAGTTTTAT